CCGGTTACTTGGAAGGCTGAGGTGGAAGGATCACCAGAGTCCAGCAGGTCAAGGCTGCAGTGGCCAGGAGCGGCCACTGCACTCCAGTCTGGGCGACAGTGTGAGACTCCAACTCAAAAAAAAAATAAAATAAAATAAAAATGCATATGGTGGCCAGGCGTGGTGGCTCATACCTGTAATCTCAGCACTTTGGGAGGCCAACATGGGATGACTGTTTGAGGCCAGGAGTTTAAGACCAGCCTGGGCAACACAGTGAGACCCCACCTCTACAATAAACAAAAAGAAGGAACTGGGAGTGGTGATGGGTACCTGCTATCCCAGCTACTTAGGAGAATGAGGTGGGGGTTGTTCATTCTCAAGCATCCCATGTTGCTTGAGTCTCAGAGTCCAAAGCCGCAGTGAGCTTTGATCGTGCCACTCACTGCACTCTAGTCAATCACCCAGGTTGAAGTACAGTGATATGATCTTAGCTCACTGCACCTTGAAATCCTGGGCTCAAGCGACCCTCCCACCTCAGCATTCTGAACTGCTGGTACTACAGGAGTGCACCATCAGGGCCAGCTAATTTTTTTTTTTTTGGTAGAGATGGGATCTCACTATGTTGTCCAGGCTGGTCTCACGCTCAAGAGGTCCTCCCACCTGGGCCTCCCAAAGCACTGGGATTGCAGGCATGGGCCACTGTGCCTGGCCATTTTCTGCTTATCTTCCTAGTTTTCTACAATAACTGAGCATAATTGTATAACCAGGAAAAACAATCAATAGCTATCCTAGAGAGAGCAGCACTGGCCATGGAAGGCATGGACTCAGCGTTCTGCCCAGACTGATGCTTTAGGAAGCCAGCTCTCCCCCATTCCTGTAGCTGGCCATTCTCAGCAAGGCAACCTTCCCGAGAAGTATTGATTTTGTCTGGTTCAAAGTCAAGTCCTCCTGGCTATCAGGTCTGCTCAGCTACCGTTGGAGACCAGGAAACGGCACTTTGAGAATCCACCGTCTTTTATGCAGACCTTGGGCTCCCAGAGCAGACCCCATTCATTCATTTATCCAGCAGGCACTGAGGGCTTAGTGGGATCCAGTCCCTCAAATACAAGATGGAAGCCACAGTTCCAAGCTCGAGGCACTGAGTCAGGTCAGTAGATGGAACAGGAGGCACCGGGGCATAGGAGGAGGATAGCACAGCTGAGGTGCACATACATCTCACAGAAGGCCTAGTCCAGGCTGCAGGAGGTGGGGGCAAGGGGGAAGCAGTGTTGGGGGCAGCGA